GATCGATTCATTCTCTCAATGCAACAAAATTTTGACATGTTAGTTGTAACTTAGTATTTAAAACCTTAAAATCAATTTCAATAGCCAATAAAAAATAAAAATAAGTATTTAAAATTGAGGTTTGATGATAACTATTTCTTATGTTTCAATTTTTTATATTTTAGTCATGATACAGTGTTTAGAGAATATTTTAATTAATTTTAATAATTACTAAAAATTAAAAGAATAAATTAGGGGAAAAAAAAGGTTAGAGAGCGATTTTGATGCCAAATTTAAATTATTATAGGACAAAATTAATATTTTTTCAAAAAAGTGTTTTAATAAAAAATATTATTAATAATTTTTCCTATTTTAAATATGTTTTAATGTATTTCTTAGTAAAAAAAAATTTATGTATTAATCTGTTTAAAGATATTGATTAATAAGCTTTTTTTATCCTCAATTAAATTATTTTCTTTTAAATTTTAAAAATACATTTAATTATCATTAAATTTTATATAGAAGATAATATGTTTACAGTAAGTAATCATGAGAAATTTTTATAATTTTTTTATTAAGAAAAATATATATTATTAGAAAGAGTTGAAGGGAAATTCAAAATCCATATACATAGAGAAAAAAATTAATATTTATTCAAAAAATAAAAACTAAAAACATATTTATGTAAAGTTAAGACGAAAACAATTTCGTGAGTTCAGATACCAATTTGTTAACAAAATAACTTTTCCCTTACTAACAAGTTAAAATCATTTTCAAGACCTCAGAATAATAGAATTTATGACTTCTTTCTCATCTAAAACATCATTGGAAAATACTATTCTATTTCTATGTAGTACTTACCCAAATAATTAATAAACACATTCCTTCTCTTTTACTGCAACCAACACCAACCCAAGAAAGTAAGTGAGTCGATAAATCTGAAGGCAAAACCAGTGAGAATCCAAGCTAATGCGCTGTAAAATACTAGATTTGAGATTAAACTAAGCACGTTAAAAATAAATGAGTTAGAAGTTCTTCCAAATCATGACAGAAACAACAAGTTATATCATCAATCAGCAAACTTTTACAAGGAAGTGCATTCAACAACAATTGCCAAGAAAATATTAGACACTTAAGAGGGACCTTCCCTTTTCATAACTTTTGCAAGGCGTCTGTCGTACATTGATTTACACTATTAGGACCATCAAAAAGTTCAAATAGTCATGAATACGCAGATTGCACTGAATAACCACCTGAAGAATCCGTCTTCCATACCTATTTATCTTCCTGTTGCACCTTAATAAAAAAACTCCAGCGACAAGCTTTAACAAAAGATTCAAGCTTGAAATATCATGTTAAAAGAGTTCTCTTCGTCAACTAACATCCTAAACCTACCTATTGCCATCATGAAAACTATTCTTCAATACACAAGATTCAGCATTCCTCACCACTGCATACAATCGTGGAAATGCCCCACATAATCGCACTCCACCTACCCACTTATCTCTCCAAAAAAGAGTGTGCAAACTTGTCCCCACATTCCTATCTAACTTCTCATCCAACCATGAATTTCCTTGATGAATAACCTCTAGTAAATCACGTCTTCACAAAAAACATCTATTGTGGACTAGTGGATGCTGAATAACAAAAGCTAGTTTGCCATATCTAGCTTCCAACATCTACACTCACAATAAACTAGAACAATTAACATCTTGCCACAACCATTTACCAAGAAGCGTCCAGTTAAACCACTGTACATTCTTAATGCCCAAGCCACCATTCTTCCGCAATCTACAAACTGTTTCCTATTTCATTTAGGGGATTTTGGATCCATCCTTAACACCTTTTCATGAAAAATTTTGCTGGGTAGTGATAATCTCTTTTATCACTGACTTCAGTGCCTTAAAAAAGGATAACGAGTGTAATGGCATTGAACTAAGAACGACATTAATCAAAGTCACCTGTCTCCAATCGATAAATACTTATGCTTCCATGACGCCAACCTTTTTTTAAGAGCTTCTAATACACCCTTCCATGCACTAGGCTTCCTTGGGTTAACACCTAACTGTAACTCAAGATACTTTAATGGGAAGCTATCAATCTTACAATGTTGGAATTCTGCAGCCAAGTTTTCAAAGTTATCGCTAGTGTTAATCCCCAATATATAGCTTTTATGAAAGTTAATTTCATACCTGAAATTAACTCAAGGCTATGCAATACTGTTTTCAAAGTCCACAAGTTCTAAACTGAAGTCTCTCCCATAATCAATGTGTCATCCGCAAATTGCAGCAAAGAAATATCTTATCCTCTAACCCCAATCTTTACACTAGAGAACAGCCCACATGTTACTGCCTTCCGCATAAGGACTCCTAACCCATCCGCTGTCACAAGAAAAAGAAAAGGGGCAAGAGGATCCCCTTATTTTAGGCCCCGCCCAATATGAACCTCTAATGTAGGACAGTCATTAATCAAAGCTGATAGGCTACCCCTCCACACACAAGATTCCATCCAACTGACCCATTTTTTTGAAAATCCAAAGCTACATAAAATAAATAGAAGATACCCCCACTTTACCAAATCATAAGTCTTCTCATAATCAAGCTTTAACACAAAACACCTCTTGTTATGCCTCCACACATAATCTACTACTTCATTAGCCACAAGCATACTATGTAACATGTTCCTTCCTAGGATAAAGGCTGATTGTTGTTATTAAATTATTGAATCCAGAACCCCTTTCAACCTATTTGCCAGGAGCTTGAAAATAATCTTATAAAGACAACCGAGCAATGAGATAAGCTAAAAATCAGTGATCTGTTGTGGGCAAGATACTTTTGGCACAAGTGCTACAAAGTAGGATAACAAAGACTTAGGCATACTCATCACTTCTCCCTTGATTACTCCCCAAAACCTCTTAAGGAACACAAAATTAAATTATCAGGCCCGGGCTTTTATCCCCATTACACTCCAAAATCATCTTTCCTACTTCCTCCTCTAAAAAAGCATTAACAAGTCCTTCATTCTGTAACACAAAGACTCTCGGTAAATCATTAACATCAATAGTAGGTCGAAGTCAACCTCTACTACTAAAATAATCTGTAAAATAAGACATCATACCTGCTTTAATTTCATCAACCTCTTCAACACATCTTTCCCCTATTTGAAGCGCATGTATTTTATTTCGTTGTCTCCTCCTGTTAACATATAAATGAAAGAACTTTGTATTTAAATCACCCTCCTTCCTCCATCGCACCCAAGCTTTTTAAGCTATGAGACTTTCTTTATTCTTTCTAACCTTCCAAATATCACCAACCAATATCTGTTGACGCTCCTTCTCCACATCAGAAAGTTCACTTACAGAATTTTTATCATCAATCAAACTCAACTCTGTTGTCTAATAAGAAATTACCTTATCAACATTTTCAAACACCTCAGTATTCCATTTTTTTTCCTCATAATTATACACTCAATTATCATTAATTTTTTTTCTTATTATAATGATGTGAAGTTTTTAATTTTATTTATTCACAACGTAATATTTTTAATAATATTTTATATTCAACAAATATTTTTTTAATCATCTTATATAAAATAAAAAAATTAAATTACATTTCGAAAATTATAGAAATTTTCGTTATACCAAGCACTACTTCAGAACTAAGCATTCAACTAAATAAATAGTATCAAACGTGAGGACATAAGTTCAGACGCCACGAAAAAGGCATAAAATTCAGAAGACAAGCGTCGCAAAATAGTTTATTAGGCTACCCACATCTTACTTTGCCAAAAACATTGATTGGAATCAAATTAATGTGACGCTTTGAAAGGTGCACTTTAATACTTTTTCTTTAATTTTCCTAGAAAGATTTCAACAATAAGTTATCCACTTCGTTATCTTTGATTTTAAATATATTAAAAATATTTTATTACAAATAAAGAATTATAATTTTATATTTAATAATTCTTTTCTTTAAAATATTATTTTTACATACTTAAAATTATATTAATAAATGGTTAATTTTATCGCACAAATTAACAGAGCCATAGCTAATATATTTATTTTCTCCAATATTATCTCTGTATTATTATTATTTACTCTTGCAATTCCCAAATTCAAAAGATTCGGAAAGATATATTATACGACATGAGCTCTAACCAAAAAATCACAGGTATACAATGATAATGACCATTCAAACTAAACTTTCTTCACATAGCCGCCTCTATAGCTTCTTCAATCTTCCTTATTCTTCTTTTCTCCTTTCCAAATCCTTTTATTTACCCTCTTTTCAAATGAAACAATCAACCATTTCAAATAGTTACTCATTTGGATAAGATTAATCTTCTACTGCAAGTACATATATATTTCCAACACACCCTCTAATCATGCATGTATTATTAGCTTATTCTAAATAAAAATTGATTAATCAAGCACCAATATAAATTAATTAAGGTGTAGGTAGAAATGAATTACGTAATAAGGAGATTTCAACTGTACTTTTTCAATAAGACGTTTTAGTTATCTTTCAAGTTTATCAGCTATAACCGTCCATTTTAAAAACAAACATATATGAACGATCATAAAGTAGTTGTAATAGTTTTGCACCTATTCACCACCAGACAACATAATTTAATATAATAAAGAAGAGTAAGGTTTATATGTTCCCCCCTCCCAAAGACCGTAGTTTAATTATTCTTCACAAGGGTGACAAAGCAAGTTTAATTGGAACACCAAACGGGAAAAAAAATTACCCATAACCCAAAAAACACTCTTCATCAATCAACTAACTACAAATAATAAACTCAAACAATAAAAAAACAGAACCAAGAACAAATAGAAGAGAAAAAAAAGAAATCAGAACAACAAAATTTAAGGCCATGATCATGACATAAGAGATAGTCTTTTCATTTTATTTCTCTTTCCTGTGAAAATCAAACAGAAAGTGATCACTACCCACTTTCAAGTTCTATTAAATTGTAAAATTGAAAAAGAAAAGAAAAATTCACATTTCCCTCCGGTATGATACACAACTATATATACCTTAGTATACAATTAATATACATAATGAAATACACAAAGAAAAAGACAGGAAAAAAAAATGAAAAAGACAACACTAAAAGCTCTACCTCTTCAACAATTTCCTAGTATTGGTATAAGTGGGTGTGATTTTGATGACGAGGCCAGGGAACACATCATCAGGGTCATGAATATGTGGGTTGCGTTCAACAATGAAGGGATCACCACACTTGTCACTTATGGTGTGAAGGGTCTCTCCTTCTCCCACCACATATATCTCATCGCACGGCCGTTCAAAGATATGGCTCCGCCCTCTCACGGCGGCGCCGGCGGTGGTGTCATCCTCTGAAGGCACAGAAGTACTCTCCCTTATGGACCCTAATAAAATTAGACCCAATAGTGCCGTGGCACAAAACCATGATGCTGAATCAGCTATGCTCTTTGTTGAAGAACCCATGTATATGTGTATGTGTGATGTTGTATAAGAAAAGAAATGAAATATTTTGGATTGAAAGAAACAAGGAGGGACTGTATATATAGAGTAATTCTTATGTGGGAATTTTTTAATATATACATATATATAGGTATTAAACTATAGATTATTTATTATGTGGGACAGAGGATGTGAAAGATGAGGAAAGAGGAGGGGTTTTAAGTAATGTTTGGTGTTTTTGGTTGGGAGAAAGATTGGATTCAACGACGTAGAGGAAGAAAGAACGAGGTGGCTACCAAAAGAAAATGATTCCTCTATTATTGATATGATGGTTTTCATTTTTATGTACTGTATATATTTTTACCTAATTTTTATTGGCACTTTATTTATTAAATTCAATTAAATTAATATGTTGTTAAATTCATTAAATGTTATTTAATATGATAACGTTTTTTCATACAATAGGAACGCAACGATTGTTCGGCTTTTGGTACATAATTCATAATAAACTTAGGAAGGGATTTGGGTCAATTCGCATGAGAAGATTGACTGTGTTGTTAATATCAGTTCTTAGAATTAATTTTAAGTATTTAAAACAATAAATTAATATTAAAATATTTTAATTATACTTTTAATTTTTATAGAATAAATATTTTTCTATTTTAGTTATTTAAAATTAATCCTAAATATTAATATTCTCAAAGAATAAAGTATATTAAATTTACAGAAAAGGTGTCCAAATTCATAAGGAGGCTCTTGAGAATAATTTGTTTTACGAATTTCTTAAGTTAATTATAAAATTTCTCTTACCTAAAACATCTGGGGAAGGGGATTATTGAGCGTGTAAAGTCCCCCGTTACGTCATGCTGATGATAATTCAACATAAATTTTTTTCTTGACGATTTTTCATATAATGTATACTAAATGATAATGATTTTTCTATAACTTTGTGATATAAAATAGAACTCTCATAAATTTCCTTTCTTAAATTAATATAGATTAATACAACTCCTAATGGTTAAATATGTTCCTTTTTCAAAACTCCTTGCTTACAATATCACTTGACAAAAAAAAGTTGGGAAATTTTACAATGTATTTTTCCAATGTTTACGTAAAGAGTGGTTTATTTTCATGGGCAAATTATATTTGTGGGGTTCACATAATATTCAAACTTTAATATAAAATAACAATGTTATAAAAGATGTATATAATATATTTCACGTGCAAATAATAGCTTCTGCCGTTTGCGTTGGGTGAAGGTTAAGTTGAAGGAGATTCATATTTGAAATATATAATTTCATATGAGCACTGTTGTGTCATAACCTAAATGGTCATGATATTTTCTTAATATGCAAATTAATGATGAGAAGAAACTTGGAAAAGAAAAAAAAAGGGGGGTTTGTAATAGGTGTATTTCTAGGTTTGTTGAATTTTGGTTGTGTGCAGAAATAAGGTAAGAAGATGTTGAATTGTCTTTGTGTACAAGAAAGTGGGTGTTTGACCGGTGGCAACTCATTCTGTTTCCACTTGATAGGATACGTCAACCTTACTCCCTTATGATCTGCTACGTGCAAAAGTGGTTCAACGATTAAGGGATCTTATTATTAAAACTAAAATAGTGTACACCTTTTTTCTTTAAATTAGGCTAGTTTATAAATTTATTTTTATATATTAAAATAATAGTTTTGCTATTAATAAAAAATATTGTTGTAAATAGTGTTGTTGTTATAATTAATATTATGAAAATTGATATTGATATTATAGTTAATTTGATGATAAATTGATTGAGTATACAATCGTTAAAATTATTGATTATATGTTAAACAATAGTTTGTGGTGCTTTATTTTATGTTCTTCTTTATATGTCATCATATATTATAAATAGGTATACTTTTATATTGTATCGATATAAATATATGCAATTTTTATTTTATTTTTACTTTTTTATTCTTATCATGATATCTTATTATTAAAGTAAGATAGTGTAGAGACAATTTTATTTTTTTTTGTAAATTGAAAGTATTTTCACATTCTATTAAAGATTATTATTTTATTTTTTTACAAATTTATCTGAAATTTTTTTAGTAACATTAATTTAGGGAGCAAATGTATTATAAAAAAAGAAGTAAAAATACTTTGACTTATTTTAAATTCTAATGTAATATTATTGAATGCTGTAAATATTAATTACAATGACACTCAATCGTATAATTTAATATTCTTTTACTTTAAATTTTTCAACAGTTCCTTTTTCACATATTAATAGAATTTTCATAAATTTAATAAATATGAAAGTCATACATTTAATACATAAATATGAAATTTTAATAAAAAATTAATTTACTGTATTAAATTGATATTATTTCATTATATTTTATAGGTTAACAATACGTTTTATTTAATCAGCATATTATTTAATGCTACAGCATAGTCAATTTTTGTATATTTTGAAAATATATTTTATAAAATTATATGCATTTTTAAATATTAATAATATATATATATATATATATATATATATATGTGTGTGTGTGAGTGAAGATCTATTAACATTATATATTAAATTTGAATACTTACACTACTTAATAACTATTTATGAAATGTAATATTAATTAATTTAACTATTAAATTATTTTATAATATATTTATGACTATATATATATATATATATTAAATTTTACATAATTTAAATATTTATAAGTATAATATCTATAATTTGATATTTATTTATATTTTTAAAATATATTATATGTTAAAATATAGTAATGTGATGAAATAGTAATTTATTTTATTTTGTATAAAATTAATTTTCTTGATAAGGATTTTTAAATCAATAATTAAATATGAAAATTTATTAAATAGGGTAAGTGTTCAAAGTAGTAGTAGTAGTAATAATAATAATAATAATAATAATAATAATAATGAAAGTTTAATAAATATATTAAATTAATATAATATTTAATATTATATTAATGTTATAACAACATGATTCTTTTCTTTAATTTTTATCTGAAATCCCAGTAAAAAAGAATTATGTTGTTTACAATAGTATTGCAACACAACTATTCAACCAATCCCTTAGTGCAAAGAAATACTTTTAAATAAAATTGTACATCTCTATGCCAAGTCGCAATGGCAATCCTGTGTTGAAAACAACAATTAATTAATATTAAAAACACCTTAAGAGTTCATAATTGGTAGGCAATTTGTTTAGGAAAATCATTGATGAGGTTAATGGTCAAGAAGAAATCCTGTTTTGAAACAAGTGACTGTTAAGTCTTTCCAAAACCGTTGATTCCAGTTAAGACAAATTGTAAGACTCTTTGAACAGGTCATATAAACAATATAATATGTTCCACCCATCCTATGAGATTCCCAATCCAAAGGGAAGTATTCAATATAATTGAATTGTGACAGAGATTAGAAACACAAACTCTGGATCCCAACAAAGGAATGTGCCAACAATGTCATTAACATAAGAGGAGAAAAAAGTTGAAGGCAGAAAATCATACAACACATAGCACAACTTTAGAGTGCCTTGAATTAAGTCATTGATATTGAACTCTCTTAATTTAATTCTATGTTGAATTTCGATTTCAACAATCAACTCTTATCTCTCTCTTCTTCTCTATACAGAGTTTATTTTTAAAAAATTTATTTTATTTTTATTTATCTATTTTATATAACATTAAACTTGTCAAAGTCTATATATATACTTATGATGATATTACTGTTGTTATTATTTATTTATCCAATATTATTATTTATTATTTTAAATTGTTTTCGTAGTTTTACATAATTCTTAAATACTTTACTTACTTATCATAAATAATACAGTTCGTATTAATATAAAGATATTAATTACATTCATTAATTTGTATATTATCCTTCTAGCTGGTATTTGTTTATCTAACAGATCACTTGAACCAACAAATTGGAAAACTAGCCCCTTAACAATTTGACCATGATATTATCACTATGGTGACAAGTGCATAACCAAATTCAACTTCGAAAAAACAATTAAACTAAGCAAACCCAAAATGGGGTGGAGAAAACAGTGATTTGACTGAGAGGGTCATGGACAAGGCATGGAATTGAAATGGGTGTGAGAGAGTAATTGGACATGTGGTGGTGAAGTGGAATTGGGTTAATTGGGTTGTGGGGGCAAGTTTGACAAATTCATTAGAACAGGTGATGAATGGAAATTTGGCACGCAATTTAAATGCAATTGAAGGCTAGGCACATAGACATGGGCGGTGAAAAGGGGTCACTTTCTATTCACATTGAATAAAAGCACTACACTATTGGGGATTTGGGGGGCTACCTTCAATGTTTTTTGTAACTTTAGCAGTGCCTAGTGCCTGGTTTGGTGATTCGTTGGATCAATAAAAGGGTGGCTGAAAGTTGAATAGAAAGAAATGGCCTAGGTAGGTTAGACGTGACATATAGCCCCAAATTGAAGTGTAATCACGGTCACACACTGTAGAGGAAGAAAAATATAACTTTTGTTTGCAAAATTTTTAAAATTTTAAGACAAAATATGGAACCCTTAACCATACAACACCTTTTATATTTTTTTTCTTAATTCTTCTTCACTTTCGGTGGTATGCATGGAAATAAATTTGAAGAACTTTTTGTGTGAGATTTTCGCCATTGGTATTTGAAACTCACGTTTGGTATTGGGGTGAGTATACTTTTGTTTTTTTAAATAGTTTTTGTATGGGATACTCTTTTAAAATATTCATTAAATCATTTAATTCATTGCAAACTATAGGAATAGAATCGAAAATTTTAAAAATTGAATTAACTGAAAATTGAATAAACCAAATTTTTTTATTAGATTAGATTAAACTTTAGATTTTATTTTGAAAATCAAACCTATCCAATTCAAACTAAATTTATATGTGTATATATAATTTTATTTATAAAATTATATTTTTACTCATACTTTTAAAATTATATATCAATAAAATTTTAATACTTAAATATTTTCTATAATTTTATTTTAAAATTATAGATTATGTATATTTTATTATTTTCATGATTATATCAGTATATTTTAGCATACTTTAAAATTATTTTTGTATATCATACTTTTTATATAAATTTTATATTTTATATAAAAATTAACTTTATTTAAAAATAGTGTAAAATAAATTATAAAGTTATTTATTTAATTTTTTAAAGTATATTAACTGTATATGAGTACATTTCTAATGGAACTGTTGCTGATCATCTTCATGGTGGAAGAGCCAAACCAAGAAACTTCCCTTGGCATATTAGAATGAACATTGCTGTGGAAGGCAAGTGCATTGAAATGTCTTCATGTTTCTAATATCATCCATAGAGATGTGAAAACCCACAACATACTTCTTGATGATCAATTTTGTGTCAAAGTAGCTGATTTTGGACTCTCACGCCTTTTTCCAAACCTTGTCACCCACATCTCAACAGCTCCACAAGGAACTCCAGGTTATGTGGATCCAGAATACCATGAGTGCTACCAGCTTACTATCAAAAGTGATGTTTATAGGTTTGGAACGGTACCAATTGAGCTGATATCATCGTTGCCCCAAGTTGATATGACAAGACATGGGCATGAAATTAATTTGGCAATCAACAAGGTGAAATATATTTGCAAGTTTAAAAGTAGATGATTAAGAAAGATGAAACAATCATTAAATATTTTTATTGTAATGTTCACAGCGCTATAGGCTATTAAAATATGAAGGGCACATAGGAATTAAACTTAAAACATGAACAAGTGCGTTATTTAATTAAAATGCTTTTGATGACACCAAATAATGAAAGGACATAACTTTTAAATTTTATATGATATCTCTTAGTTTTAAAAGATATGACTTTCTAGTGAAAAAATATAATTATTCACTTTCATTTAAATCATCAATTATAAACAATCCTCATTATTAAACATGTAACAAACTTTTTTTTACTGTGTGTAACATATGAATTTGAGTGTTCTTAAATTTCAAGCTCAAGAGAGAAAAATTCTTGTTATTGCTAGACAGGAAATTCAAAGATTTCATTGTATCTTGGAGAATATTATCATTAACTCATAGCAACTTCGTGTAGGGACAAATATTTCTCTAAAGATAACGATTGATTTCGTGCTTTGAAACCAGTATTTCAAAGTCTTGTTCCTCATCTTCTATACGAATATTAGTAACAATTTTAGAGAGATATTTTATTGAAGATGACTCAAAATTAGAATACTACTTTCATAGTCATGAATCAAGAGTTTGTCAAACTAGATCGATTCGACAGGACAAACTTCAACCGATGGAAAGACAAAATGATGTTTGTTCTTTCGGTACTAAATTTTGCTTATATGCTTGATCCAAATACCACACAAATTCCTACTGAAGATGCAACTAATGAAGAAAAGGAAAGGAAGTCCAATTGAAGAAAAAGCATGACGAGAACACTTTTGCATGTCGAGGACACATTCTCAATACTTTGTCAGGTAGACTTTATGATCTCTACATGTCAATTCAATTGCCATTGGAAATTTGAAAGTCTTTTGAAGAAAAATACAATAATGAATTACAAGGTACAAATAAATTTATTATGTTCAAGTACTTTAAATTTAGTATGGTAGATAACGTACCTATCATGAATCAAGTTCATGAGTTACAATTTCTTATAAGTAGACTCTGTGATCTACAAGTAATAGTTCTTGAATCATTATAAGTTGAAACAATTATTTTAAAATTTTCTTCATCTTGGAATGATTATAGAAAGAAACTCCTACATCTTGGAGAAGACTTCTCTGTTGAAAGATTACTAAGGCATTTATGTATAGAAGAGGAAACTCAAAAATGTGATGTTGTGTATCTTTCCGAAAGTTCTAAAGTGAACAATGTTAGAGAAGTAAATGTCAATAAAGGCAAAAGAAAAAAATCTTTTGTGGATGCCAAATAAGATAAAACCAGACAAAGAGAATGCTACCATCGCCCCAAGAAAAGCATTATATCAAGGATTGTTGACTTTTAAAAAGGGTAATAACTCAAAAGAAGCATCAAGTTCTAAGCCAACTTTGTGGAAGAAAGAGACTTGGTTGCTATGATTAATGAGAGAGTTCAATGCATGCACATTGGTATGATCACAAGATCACAAAACTAAACATGGCAACATATGAAAGATCCCATGAGTGGTGATTAGATTTTGGTGCTATTGTTCATATTTGCAATGATCGCAATCAATTTAAGACATATGAAGAAGTGGACAATTGAAAAGTGTTAATGGGAAATGACAATATGGCCAAAGTGTGTGGTAAAGGAACAATAGAGTTGAACTTTACATCAGGAAAGAAGTTAAATTTGGTGAATATACTTCATATTTCATATATAAGAAATAACTTGATCTCTTGTTGCTAGTCTCTTTTGTAAGAGAGAATTCAAAATTGTAATGGAAATCTAATAAGATTACCTTGCTTAAGAATGATATGTATGTAGGAAAATGACATTGTACTCATGTTCAAATTTAGTATTAATGATAAAGTGAATGATTATCTGTTTGTTGTTGATTCTTGTGATCTATGACATAGTAGATCAACACATTTAAATTATAACTCAATTGAATATATACAAAAACATAATTATATTGATTTTAGTAATAAGAATTTTAATAAGATATGTGAAATTTGCATACAATCCAAAATTACTAAGAAAGTTTTTCTTAAAGTTGAAAGAAATACACATTTACTAGAACTAATACATAGGGATATTTGTGAATTAATTAAAAATATTATTAGAGGAGGAAAAAGGGTACTTTATCACCTTTATTGATGATTGTTCTATATTTACTTATGTATATTTGATAAGAAATAAAGATGAAGCATTTGAAATATTTAGGAAATATAAAATGGAAGTAAAAATTATGCATGATAAGAAAATAAAGGTTCTTTGTAATGATAGATGTGGAGAATACTTTTCTAGTGAATTTGATAATTTTTCTGAATTACATGAAATTATGCATGAATATTCTATTCCATATACTCAATAACAAAATGGTTTAGCGGAGAGAACGAAATGAATCGTACCTTAGTAGATATAGTTAATTCAATGCTATTAAATGCTAAGGTACCTCATAATCTATGGGGTGAAACATTATTGACGGCATGTTCTATTCATAATAGGATACCATCAAGAAATAGAAAGATTTCTCCATATGAAATATGGAAAGGAAGAAAACCAAACTTAAATTATTTAAAAATGTGGGGATGTTTAGCCTCTTCCTAATCAAAAGAGAACTAAATTGGGGTCAAGAGCCATAAAAACCATCTTCATAGGATATGCTCAAAACTCTAAGGTATATAGAATTTTGGACTTAGTGTTCAATATAGTCATTGAATCAAGGGAGGTGGAATTTATTGAAAATAAATTCATTGGTTATTCAAACTCCAATTTGGAATATACAAAAGAATACAAAAGATTCCCAAGAAGCAATTGTAAATCAAGGCAATAAAAGACTAGGTAACAATTAATTATTTGAACCAAGAAAGAGGCACAGAGTGAGAATAGAGAAAGACTTAGGTTCATACTTTATTTTTTCTCAGGATATTATTTTTTTGGTTGATGGAAGTTCTGTGATAAACAAAATTTCTATTATTAGAAGTACAAAAAGTGATCCTCAAACATTTAAAGAGGCAATGGCCTCTAGAGATTCTGTCTTTCTGAAAGAAGAAGCAGATGATAAAATAAACTCAATATTATATATTAAATATTTTAAAAAATAAATTAATGTTAAATACTAAAAAAAAATAAGTCATCACAAATATTAAATAATTAAAAAAATTAATTTAAAGAGAACAGAGAAAGGCAGCAGATATTAAACAAATGTTCTCTGCTGTCTCTCTCTTAAATATTAAAATAAATAATATATTAATTAATAAATAAATATAAAAAATAAATTAATATTAAACACTTATAAAATAAAGCATCATGAATATTAAATATTAAAAAAAATAAGTCTTCATGATTATTAAAAAAATAAATTAATATTAAATATTAAAAAAATAAGTCATCATAAATAATAAATATTAACAAAAAAAAGTTATCGTGAATATTAAATATTAAAAAAATAAATTAATTTTAAAAAGTGTATATTAAATATTAAAAAAATAAGTCATCATTAGTATTAAATATAAAAATAATATAATTTAAAAAATTATATACTAAATATTAAATAAATATTAAAAAATAAATTGTCGTAAATATTGAATATTAAAAAAATAAATTAATTTGAAGCAAACAAAGAGACAAATGTATTAAATAAATAGTCCTGCATTTAAGTTTAGTAAAGGGATATATAGTAAAAGTGCATATCATAATACATTTACCTACAACTTTTTACTAAGAAGATTGTTCCGGAATTATTATTTATGGAAGCACTTCGTCTTTATGACAAAGTGGTAAGTCAAGTCCATTAAGACCATGTTAGCTATGAGACATTGATCCATGAACTCTACAAAGTTATAAAGACTAGAGCTGTTATTTTACTGGTGAGGCAGACTGAAAGGCAAGGTATCAAACCTAACCTACGAATATATAGTATAAAATTGATAGCTTGTGTAAAGATAAAGCTATGGCCAAAGATGTCCACAGGTCGGTTTGGTTAGGATTTGTACAAAAAAATTTGAAAATTCGAACCAATTTGAACCAAATCGAATAGGTTGATTTAGTTTGGATCATCGAATTGTCCGATTAAATAACTTAAAATAAAAAACGTATAAGAAAATAGAAAAAATGTCAATTTTTTTATTCAAATAATTCTTGACACATAATTTCAACGTAATTATACAACATGTCAACACAAATACACAAATTCAAAATAAGTTTCAATTTAAAACACATCTTACTGCATGTGAAGGTTTTTTTTTTTTTTGAAAAAAAAAATCAACGTAAGTTAACGGTTAATCGAGCATGTCATCGGATCTACGAGTTGACTTGTGCCAACCCGTTATCCAAATCTAACTATGTCAAGGTTGATCGGTGTGAATTGGATTGAACCTATTAAGTATTAGTTTGGATCATCGGATTTATTGGATTGGATTGAACATGTTAAGTATCGGTTTAGATCATTGAATTTATTGGTGTATCCGATTCAATGGACACCACTAGCTATGGCTGAAGCATCTGATCTCTGTTCTGAGATTGTTGCGAATGAAATTTATTCCAACTATGTGTTTACTTGAAGAAATAACTTTGAAAAATATCACCGCTTTTATTTATATCATGTCAATTGATCTCTTATGTAAAATGTGAAGTGTGAAAGATGCCGAACTTCCTCTGGCTGTGATGATAAAGAAGGGTCTGACACCAAATGTTATTACCTACACTTCTTTAATGGATGGGTATTTCCTACTTCATGAAGTAGAAAAGGCAAATTCTTTATTCAACTTCATGCAAGTGATGTAAAGGCTGATTCAAAAGACTGTACTATACGCATTGATGAATTATGCAAGACTGTGAAGAAGGTTGATAAAGTCATGAATATATTTCAAGAGATGGGATGGAAAGGTATAATTCGAAGTAAAATATCTTACCATACTATTATCGAAGGTTTGTGCATATCAATTAGAATTTTCTGTGCCTAAGAGCTTTGACAGATCATATCCTGATACGAGGATTGTTTCTTAAACTCAGAGACATGAGACGAGGTGGAAAAAAGACTTAGATTTGTACTTTATTTTTTCTCGTGATATAATTTTTTTATTGGCAGAACTAGGGTTCAAATAGTATGTGTATAAGTTTATTTAGGAGATGCGTGTAAGTTCATTTAGGAGATGCGTGTAAGTTCATTTAGGAGATGCATGACAGAAGTACATATTGCATGTTTCATGAATCTATAGATGTGGGTACTCGGCCTGATCGAGACAGGTACCCCATACTTAGATTGTGTAGAGGTAATAGACTTAAGAATGCAGAGAAGCTTTGTGAGCATCTTTTGCACGAAGGTTATCATCATGTTACATACAACTATGATTCATGGATTTGTTGAGAAGGACATGCTTGATCAAGCGTTAGTATTGAAATTAATCGTGGTGGAACTTTGGCTACTTCTCTGATGCTAGAAAAAAATGAAAAACAAGTCGTTGAGTATTAAATATTAAAAAAAACAAGTTGTCGTGAATATTAAATATTAAAATAAATAAATAAATTTTAAAAAGTGCATATTAAATATTAAATAAATATAAAAAAATAAATTAATACTAAATAAAAAAAGTTGTCATGAATATTAATTATAAAAAAATAATTTGAAAAATACTATATATTAAATATTAAAAAAATCATAAATATTAAATATTAAAAAATAAATTAATATTAAATATTAAAAAAAGCCATTTTTATTGATGGCACACAATAGAAAAGCTATTTTAATTTAATATTTTATTTTTTAATTTTAATTTTAATTTTAATTTTTGATCTATATTTCAAACTTCATTATCTGTAATGCTGTGGAATTAACAGAGAAGCTAGTGATTTCAAATTAGTTTATTTATTTATTAGAATATATAAAAGCGCAATACAACAGTAATTAAGTTTGCAGATAAATTTAGCTACATAGATGACATAATACCATACAACTCATATATAAAACTGCAATGTGAATGTGACAATAATGATTATATTAAGAAAATAACTAATTATGCTACAGTTATTATATATCAATAGTTTTAATACATTATACTAACATCTTAGCTAAAAGAGTTAACCAACCAAGGACTCCAACTAGCCATGCCATAAATTTAACATTAACACATGATATTTAATTTGATAGGTATGTTCTTTCCTGATTGCAACAAAAATGTTCAGCAGAATTGAAATATTTAAAATGCTCTAAACTTAAATGTATCACCTGAGTTTCATAAATTGCAGGTTTTCAGGAGAAAATAGACCAATCCATGCAATTACAATATGGGCAATGTAAAATGTAAGAGAAAAGGTATTATGGAGCATCGTTTTTAACGTGCTCATACAAGTAATTGTTGTGATATCTTAAAATTTTTTTATGGGTATTATATTAAAAAAATTTATAACAATAAAAAAGAAACATGTAGCAAGTTAAAAAAAAATTTAAATTTTGTTAAAATTGAGGATAAACAATTAATAATAGTAAAATTTTATTAAAAAAATATTTATTTTATTTTATAACTTCAATAAAATAACGATATACTCTTTTATAAAAAAAATTTATTGGTTGATGCTTAACTGCAGTTTTAATAGATGAAATTAACAAATTTTAAAAAAATATTATTATATATAATTTATTTAAAATTATATCATTTATATTATTTGCTATATAGTCGTACCATTCATATATATATATATATATAATTGAAATTTTTTATTTTATTTTTTATTATTTTTTATAAATTTTTAATTTTAAATAAAATATAATTAATATTTAAGTAATTTTTATTTATTATAAATAAAAATAATTATAACATAATATATTAATATAATAATTAAATATTGATAATAATAGAATTAATAATATAACAAAATATATTAATATAAAATTATTATTTTATTTTTAAATTTTAGTTTATTCAATTTTAATTGGATCTTATTTTTATTCAAAAATTTAACTATTTTTCAACTTATTTAAATGTAGTAAATATAATAATTTATTATTAAATAAATTTATTATATAAATATTTGTATAAATATTTTTAATTTTGAATAGAATATAATTTCTATTTATTATAAAAAAAATTATAACATGACATAGTAATTAAATAATTAAATATTAATAATATAATTAAAAATATAGAAAATATATTAATATAATATTATTATATTTTTAAATTTTAATTTGTTTAATTTTGATTAGATCTTAATTTCATTCAAAAACTTAACTATTTTTTAGTTTATTCAAATAAAGTAAATATAATAATTTATTATTAAATAATTTTATAATTTAAATATTATTAGTTTAAAAAAATTTATGTACGGTACCTAAAAAATTTTAAGAGTAGAACAAAATTTACCAATCAAGAGTTTTATGCTTTCACGTTAAGAAAAATAAGGAGCCAATTTAAATGTAAAAGTCGATTCGGAAAATTTTATTAAACCTAAGGTAAAATATTGGATTTATCAATCATCACTGACGAGAAAACAGGCATAGAAAAATTCTACTCAAGCAGGTTAATTATGGTTGGCTTGGCACTCAATATTTCTAGAAATAAAGTATGAATGAGAAATTATAATTTTCTTCGTTTAAAAATGTTTAATATGTGTATAATATAATAAAATGTGATATGTACTAAAATAATTGTACGATGTAATAAAGTGTGATTATACTAGATATATCATTTAATATAATGAGTCTAACATCCTATTTTACAAGATTGAATAATCTTTAATGGAGTGTTGTTGTATTGTCTTATGTTATATATTTTTTAATTTATTTTTAATTGAATTTTAAAAAGGATTGATTATTAAAAGAGTAAATATTTACATTATTTTTAAGTTTCATAAATTTATTAAGTTTTACCTCCTAAAACATAGGTTAACTTTTACTCTAAATAAAAGAAAAAATTTAATTTTAGTGCACTATTAACTTAAATTTTTTTTACATTTTTAACTAATTAGAATACATAATAAATATGACTTTTAAATTATTCATTAAAAGTATTAATAACCCTTGTTTATAGGGTAATATATGTGGAATGAGTATAAATTTTTTTTTAAAAGTAAATTCTAACCAAAAAAACATTGCTTATGCTATTAATAATAAACGTTTAAGGGTGTTTTCTTTTTCATATTTATGCATTTTTATAATATATTAGTAAAAATATAAAAATTATCATATATAGCATCATGATATTATTTATTAATTATTTAAATAAAAAAATTGTTAGGAGCTTTTCTATTCTTGGTATTTTTTCTTTTAAATTTTTTGGCTATTTTATAAAATAAACATTAAGTAAAAATAAGTACATATATTTATTATCTTAAAAATATAAAATATTTTTTTATTTAATAATCATGAGAATTTGTAGAAATAAAAGATAGTGATATTTAAAATTATTCAAATAATAAAATATATTGTAAGAACACTTGTGTGCTATTTGGATGATGAGATAAAAGAAAGAAAGAAAAAACAAAAAGTAAAATATGAAGTATTTGTTATTTTAGAAAAAAGAAACAAGAAAGAAAAAAATAAACAAAAATTTCTCCACTTGTTTAAATGAATAGAAAGAAAAAATAAACAAATATAAATAGATTATATAAAAAATTATTTTTATAACAATAATAATAATAATAATAATAATAATAAAATTAATTTAATAAAAAATAAACATTTTACTACAATATTTAAAAATTATAATAATAATTTATTTATGTTTAATATTATATAAAATATTTAATATAAAAATATTTTAAGAAAAAGACCGTAGTTGTCTCTCTTGGTTCCTCTGCAAATTAATTTAAAACAACTAATGTCAGGTAAAACTGAAGTATGCAATCAAATTTTAGGAATTCAGTATGAGTAAATTATGAATCAACTTTTATAAAATGACTCTGTTTATTCTCTTCTTTCAATTTTATACTAATTATAATGATTTTACTACTAGAGGCACTTGAGAATTGAGAGAGGAAGAAAATGAATACCAAGAAAATGCAAAAATTTCAACGATTTGAACCCGACGTGAATCGAACACGCAACCTTCTGATCTGGAGTCAGACGCGCTACCATTGCGCCACGGATCCGATTGATACCGATGGCTTTTTCACATTAATTTAATTACGAAGCAATGGTTTATTCAAGCTTTTCGCACAGTAATTTAGTAATATACATGTTTTTAATATTTTAATTAAAAATTCTAAAAATATAAGAGAAAATTTTAATTGAAAAGAAAATGGAACACAGTTTTTTAAATTTTTAATAAATTTTAACTAGTCAAATATATTAAAATGTGAGAGTAAAAATAATAAAATTTGATTATTAAATCTTATCATAAATAATTAATATTAATTAAAACATATAAATTATGTGAATTTTTAAAAATGATCATGTTACAAATTTTATAATCATGATTACACGTTTTTTACTCTCATATAAAAAAAATTCATCTCACTGCCACTTTTAAAAAATTTTCATGTTATATAATTTAAAAAATTATTTATTTGTTAACCAAAAAAATTAAAATATCATCCCTTGCAAAAAAAAAAACACTGAAATATCTATCTAAATAAAACTGTAAAATATCAGTTTAAATTCATGTAATTTTAGTATTATTTTTAAAATTGTTCTAAATCATACAACAAATTTATTTTATAGTTATTTCAAATGTTTTTTTTACGTCAAACAAAATTTCCTAGTTTTATAGTAGGTAAATAACTCGAATCTAATCACCCAACTTTCCTGTGTTAATGAACATAGTTTAAAGTCGTAGATGTGCACCTTCGTGAATGGTCTCTTTCTTACTCGCAACGGAGAAAAAGCCCTGCGACAAGATGGCAGCGCACGGATTTCAGATGGATCATGTTAGGTACAAGGACTTTGATCCATGGATTATGTAAAGCGGGAAAAACAAGATTTGCCATTAAGCTGCTGAGGCGTATTAAAGGGCACCTGATTCAGCCTAACGTGTTAATGTAAGGTGCAATCATTGATAGCGTATGCAAAGATAAATTTTTGTATGAGGCATGTAATTTTGTCTTATCAAAGGCATTCATCCCGACTGTGTCATCTACAATAGTATTATTCACGGCTTTTGTCGTTTGGGTCAAGTGAAGGAAGCAGTAGGTTTGTTCAATGAGATGGTATTGAAAAGTATGAACCCAAATGTTTATACCTTTACCATGTTGATGGATGTCCTGTGTAAGGATGGAAAAGTGAGAGAAGCTAAGAATGCGTTGGCTGTGATGATAAGAAGAGGTCAAAAACCAGATGTTGTTACTTATAATACTTTAATAGCTGGCTATTGCCAAGTCAAAGAAGTAAAGAATGGAAGACATTTATTCAACTCGATGATCCGAGCTGGTGTAACACCTAATGTACTGAGCCATAACATATTGATTAATGGATTATCCAAGACGGGAGAGGTCTTTGAAGCCACGACTCTCCTAAGACAAATGCAACGCAGACATATAGTTCCAACTACAGAAACTTACAATTCTCTCCTTGAAGGTTTGTGCAGGACTGAAAATATGCGTACTGAACATGTGTATGAAGCCGTGAATCTCTTCGAAGAAATGCATATGGAACATATTGCTTCGGATACAGTAACTTACACTTGTCTTATCTATTGTTTGCGCAAATCAAGAAGAATTTTTTATCTCCAGGAGCTTATTCGTAAATAGCTGACCTACGTTATGTTAATTAACTATATATGCAAAATGCATAACTATGATTTTGATAGTGGTGAACCCGATGATCTTTATATTGAGCCTATTGATAGGCTATGCAAAGAAGGAAGACTTAAGTATGTGCTTTTTAAGGATTTGTTTGAGGAAGGTTATCACGTTGATTTTCATTCGTATACTCTTAGGAGTTGCCCGATGTTAGAGCCTTGGCATCTTGGCTTGGAAGACATTGGTTGCCCTTAACTATTATTTGTCCTATTTTAGAAGCAGAAAAACTTCTACGACTTGTAATGACAAGTTTTCTATGCTTAGGTTCATGTTATTTTGAATTTTGATATTGACCAGCAATTTTATAATTTTATAGTTTCAAGTACTCTGTGAGAAGCTCACTTTCATGTTACTTTGATTTAATATTTGATTTAATGTGCTTATTCTTAGTGTAATGACAAGCCTTCCATGCTTAGGTTCATGTTATTTTGAATTTTGATAACGACCAGCAATCTTCTACTTTTATAGTTTCAATTTTATAGCTTCAAGTAAGGAGCTCACTGTCATGTTACTTTGATTTAATATGCTTATTCTTAATTTTTCAATTTGTCACAATCATTAATGTATATATATTTGAGTCTATTGGAATCAAAATTTATAAATACGACGATTGATGAAAGAAGAAAAGAGATACAAAGGAGAAGACAATGAATTTTCTGAAGTGAAACAAGGATCTTCAGTATATGTTGTACAATTAGAACAACTTTCACTCATTCATTACGACATTATGGTCACGGGCTCATTCCGGAAAGGAATAGTAGGATGGGAACTCAATCAGTCTTAGATTATCCCCTCAGCCCCTTCCTTTCCCGGCCGGAAAAGCTTACTTTTTTCCTGCAATTAGAGGGGTCTCTTTTATATTCAATGGCTTTCTCTAAGCAATGGAAGGCGATGCGCTTACTCCGAACATGGATTGCCATTTCCTGATTGACCTTATCGAAAGGATGGAGGTGAAGAAAGAGCTTTCTCCTGCTGGCTCTCCTGTCCCCGGCAACTTCCACAAAGGCTGAAGAAGACTCCTACTCAATCGGGCGCATTACCCAATGCTCACTTCTTAAGTTAGACATTCAACGGCTTAAGAGCTACTTAATGAGTATTACAGCTAATAGAATAGAAGACAAAGAATGGAGCACTAAAACTCAATCAAGGCCCTTCATACAATACTACTCACTGGTGTACCAGAGCTGAGTATGGGCTTCATACAATACTACCTGGTGGTGTACCAGAGCTGAGTCCGGGGAAGGGGGATTACTGATAATCTTCAACTGCTCCATAGATTTCCGCAAAAGACTATCCGGGTGTAATGAAAGATACACTGTCCAAGGGAATAATATGTTGCCTAGTCTAAATACAAGAATAGGAACAAAAGTTAAAAGGCATAATATTTAATTTGAAATATAGGTTTTTCGATATATATTGTATCATTATCATAATAGAAACTTTAGGGTACGGTTGGGTTATTTTTTGTACTTGAAAGTTAAAAATTAAAATTGTGTAACTTATAAAATTAAAATTGTTTGAAAAATTAGTAGTGCAACTAATTTATTTGTGTTAAATGATTTAAAATAATATATAATATTATATTAACGTAATATTAAAATTAGATGTTTTTTATTTTTTTATTTTTTTATTATCAATTAATTAAATAATTATATAAAATTTGTTCTCTTCAAATATATTTGAATATAAAAGCTTTTCAGTCATATTTTTTCATATAAAATATATTTAGATAGAAGAGATGTGAAGTTTTAAATTTGTAATGGTTAGTTGTCTTTTTTAAAACAAGATGAAGAATAAAACTTATCAATTTTTTTTACTTGTGACAACTTTTATTAAAAATAATAAAATATTACAATATTCGATACATTAATAATATTAAATGATACAACTTTTAATAAAATTTACTATTTATTAATTTTTTTTATGTATCATTTGACATGCAATAAAAGAGATATTTCATCTAATGTTTCAACATGGGTGTATTTTATATCCACCGATAACAAAGAAATATGTGATAATTGTGATTAAAAAATTACATTAGTGGTTAGCAACTCATGCCATTGAACGATAGTGTTAAAAACATTTATGTTTAACTAACGAGAAAGAAAAGAAAATATATTATTATATTCAGTTATAACTATTTTAAAATAATTTTTTTACAATTATAAATAAAAAAAAACAAATTTTTATTTTATGTGAATGACTCAAAAATACTTTCTTAAATGTTTTAAAAAATTGACCTAAACTATAAAACTATTTCCCATTGTCAAGTCTTTTTACACCTACATGACGGGTAAGCTTCCAAGAGTGGCCAAATTATCTTAGCTTACAACAATTCACCTGCCTTGTCAGTGCACCAGGTAGATCCATGCTAAGATGAACTCAGTTACCATTGATCATTTGTTACTAAAAATAATATTAAAAGAAAAATTTAAACTATGCGTCATACATTATCAAGTGAGAATATTTGATTATTGTGAGAATGAGAATAATAATTATATACTATTAGGTTATATTTAAACAACCAAGATTAAAAGATAAATAAGCATATTTTTTTATAGTAAAGTAACCAATTTTTTTTTTAATAGTCTGCAGAGGACATGATTCTACGTTGGTTAATGGAGCAGATAGTCATTAGCGTGACTAAATTTTTCCCCAAAACTAAGTTAGTTCCACGAAGATAAGAAGTGAAAGAGAAGAGTGCCCAAGTTTTGGGGATAACACCAAAGAGAAGATTGCCAACGTAGTATTATAATGTATTTCTTATTTATTAATGGATTATGTAAGACGGGAGAGGTCTTTGAAGCCATGATTCTCCTCAGGCAAATTCATCGCAAACATATAGTTCCAACTACAGTAACTTACAATTATCTCCTTAATGGTTTGTGCAGGACTGAAAATGTGTATACTGAACATGTGTATGAAGCCGTGAATCTCTTCGAAGAAATGCATGGCAAACATATCGCTCCGGATACAGTAACTTACACTTCTGTTATCGATTGTTTCCGCAAATCAAGGAGAATTTTTTATATCCAGGAGCTTATTTATGACCAGCTGAACTACAAGATATTAATTGACTCTTTATTCAAAAAGCATTTTAACTATGATTTAGATAGTTGTGATCACGATGATCTTTTTATTGGTGCTATTGATAGGCTATGCAAAGAGGGAAGACTTAAGCATGTGCTTTTTAAGGATCTTTTGGTTGAAGGTTATAACTATGATGTTCATTCATATACTCCTAGGAGTTGCCCGATGGTAGATCCTTGGCAATTTGATGTGGAAGACATTGGTTGCCCGTAACTACTATTTGTGCTCTTTTAGAAGCAGAGAAACTTCTACGTGAAATTGTTGGTGACTGCTCTCGTAAGGATAAGTCTTCGATGCTTTCTAGGTTCATGTTATTTTGAATTTTGATAGCGACCAGCAGTTTTATAATTTTATGGTTTCAAGTACTATGTGACGAGCTCACTGTCATATTACTTTGATTTAATATGCTTATTCTTAATTTTTCAGTTTGCCACAGTGACAATCATAGATATATATATATTTGAGTCTATTGAAATCAAAATTTCAACTCTACTAAATAGATATTGTTACTAAAGTCTATGTAACAGTTAATTTATAAATAACGATGTTTGATCATTTTTAGCCTTAAGCAATAATTTGTTGCTTAGTTTCCTAATAATACGAATAGGAGCAAAAGTTAACAGGAATAATATTTAATTTAAAAACATAAGTTGTTCATTTTAACTAAATGCCTTGTGTTTAATAATTTTGGATAATGGATATAAGAATTTTCCATAAATGTAAAATGTATAGTATAGGTAAACGGCTATATTCGATATTTAAAATTAATTGTTTTTAATTTCTATCAGGCTAAAAGAATATATATATATATATATATATATATATATATATATATCTTTTTGTTATAAATGAAAGGTATACAACAAAATTTAAATTTAACTCCTTAAATAATTGAGTGTAAAGTTTAAATTTATTTATTTAATTAGATAAATAAAATTAAACAAACGCTACACAAGTAAAATTTAAAAAATTCACTTATATAACTAAATTCATTTTCACTTCTACTAATTCAAAGTTAACACGTTCTGCATGTATGCATGGAAATTGTTAAATAATAATTTCTTACATAAATTCCATGAAAATTTTGTAAAGTGCTATAAGGATGTGCACAAAGTAAAAATTAAAAACAAATAATAATCAACGTTATTTATCTAACAAAGACTTGATTTAGCCGCAAACATCGATCCGAGATTTTAATAAGGAGGGTTTGAGAGTTAAACGTTTGACTCTCTTATCCTCAAAAGAGAAGACTCAAGATCACGTTTCCCAAATTCATCAAGTTATTGCTAATGCAAAAATAAAGACAATTTCTTCCAATGAATGTATCTGGTCATCTTGTATATATAACATGAATACCTTTACAATCCATTAACAACAAAAAGACCCCTTCAAATTATTTACCTCAATCCATCTAGACCCACTCATATCCAACCTAAAGACTCGAAATCCTTTAGTCCAAGAAAGGTTTACTGGGGTCAAGAATTTTGTCATGATGATGAAGAACCAACAACACTTCCTCACATGTATCATCTTTTATCAACCTACTTACCTCATAATCAGTAATACATTTAAGCCCATCCCTGAACTCCTCGTTAGGTACCATTCAGACAGGTATTGAATCTAGCGCTACTAACTTTTCAGATGTAATGGCATTGGGATCTCTATGATTGAAAACAAACACAAAATCAAATACACCCTTAATAATAGCATATAATTTACAACCACCATCAATCACAAAATCGTGAATAATTATCGATTGAGATTGAAGCGTTTCAATCATAGTCCACGAGTTGTCATTCCATTTCTAGAAGGCTGGTTGCTGCTTCAATTGGTCTCCAATCCAAACCACAAAGGAAATT